AGGTACTATACTATGGGAATAAAAGCATGTGCTTTGGATGCAAGAAGAACAGTCAGGGGCATCCCTAGGGTTGGTGTCACCCACTGCGGTAACACTTGGTGTCACCCCTCCGACGATCCCCGCAGGATGGATCGCATCTGCAGATTGAGCATAATGGATCGGAGTCCGATCCATTATGCTCCCCAATCTGCAGATCCGATCCATCCTGCGGGGATCGTCGGCTATGCAACCTATACAGAGTTATCTTATCTCTCCACGAGCTCCATGAAGAGGAAAGTTTTAAAGCAAGCCAGCGATCCCCACAAAATGGATCGGATCTGTAAACTGGGAAGCATAATGGATCAGACTCCGATCCATTGTGCTCAATCCATAGATCCGATCCATCTTGTGGGGATTGTCAGCTTGCTATAAAACTTTCCTTTTTGTGGAGCTCCTGGAGAGGGTCCGGTGTCACCTCGTGCGATAGGTGTCATCCAGTGCGGCGCGCACCCCCCGCGCCTGCCGAGGGACGCCACTGTGTATTTGGTTGCAGTGGGTTTACAGTGAAGGGTTGAATATATCAGCCTTTCAGTTACCTTGCATGACTAATCATCCAAGAAAAAGTTACTTTATGGGCATCAAACTCAAGAGTAAACTTTAAACTGTATATGTAGCTATGAAAAAGACATACATTACTGCACACATCATTTCACATATATTGAGTATAAATACACCATCTTTGTATCCTCACCATGGCTAAACATGTCAAAATGTAATAGAAAGTCAACTATCCAAAGAGCTTTCTGTTCTCACCTACTCAGGTTGGCATAAGATGGGGCACATGTGGTCTCCATGACCTACCTGACCACAAGATTAAGTACTTTGTGGAAAAAACTGATCTGGCTAATTGAACTCCCAATACAGCTGGAATGAGGCAACCTTCTCTTTGTCATACAATGCAGAGTAGGATGGAGACCAAGGGCAGAATACTGACATTAGCAAATAACAACAGCTAGGCTTCTATAACAGACTGTAAGCTCCAAGGAGCAGGGCCCTCCTAACCCTCTTGTATTGAACTGTATTGTTGCTGTATTGTCTCCCGTTATATTGTAAAGTGCTGAGCAAACTGTTGGCGCCATATAAATCCTGTATAATAACAATAATGACAAAACAAGCAGAGTGGGCTAAAGACATAAGTCACTGGTCACACCACTGCAATTTAAAATCGTGTGATTTGTGTTCAATTTCAGGCGCAATTTTTGAAGACTTTATTGTTACTTGTGAAGATTTTCAACGATTTCTTGCAATTTGCAGTGCGATTTCCATTATTTTCTATGTATTTGAAATTGCAACAAAACTGCAGAAAAAGTAATGCAGGAACTACTTTAGAAATCACGCTGCAGCAAATCACAAATGTTAAGACACTGACATTCACATTCATTAGATGCGATTTCAGGAGTGATTTCAATTGCCAAATCGCACTGGTATGACCGGGCGCTAAGCACTGTGGGCAGAGCATTGACATTGTCAGACAGCAGCAACCTGAACTTGAACTACAGTAATATTTCCACATGTGCCTTATTTAACCCCATCCACCCAACACATTTGGGCGGAGTTCTCTCTAAACACCTGTGTATGGCCAATTCAAAGCTCTTCTCCAATTATGGGATTTACAGAATTAAATCAACACAGAGCATATAATCCTGATCATTTCAATATGGAATGCAAACACCTCACACAAATTATTATTTTGGATACTTATTGTTTCACAAAGTACATACGTATATGTGATGCTAGGTTTTCATGAAAACATTATAAAATATGTTTGTGAAGGTTTTACAATCTGTCAGTAGCCTATTAAACACTGCACTGCGCATAAATGATTTAAATGTTCATACTAACCTGTGATTGAGTCACGCCTTGTAGTGACTGTAAACAAATACATAAAGCTAAACATGCTCAAACACATCTCAGCGGGCTCATATGTTTCTCTATATGACTATAATAAGTGCAGTCTGACTTACATAACAAACCTGCTGACAATAGGACTATAATTATTTAATATTGCTGAAGTTATAGAAGCATATGATCAAAGAAAAACAAAGTACACAGTAGTAAGAACTATCAATAAAACTAATCTTATTAATACCTTTGTTTTCCTGTCACGATATGTTTAGAAGGATAACATGATACTGGATGTATAAATGAAAACAGTGGTGCAACCAGAACCTTCAGCCCTTTCCTTGGAGCCCAGTGATGGAATTCCTAGGTCAGGTGCAAGTGCAACCTTTGTGACCCCGGTAGGTCCACCACTGGTGTCAGTAGTTTTTTTATTTTTGTTATTTTACTATTTTTATTATTTTTTAGCATGTTTTTATTTTTTATTTACATTTTTTACAATTTTTTTTTTTATTACGTTTTACAATTTTTTAAAGAGCCCCAGTTTGGAGCTTTGGTGAGATATCGAAGGTCTAAAGAGACCTCTGATGTTTCACTTTTGAGACAGAGAAAGGGCATTGAGGACACAGCCCTCAATCTCCAATGAATGGACAGGAATAGCTATGTACAGAGCTTCCCCTCCATTCACAAACTGAATGGACATCAATCACTGACCCTCCATTCAGAAAAAAAGGGGCTGATAAATGATACATTTACTGGCCCCTTTCCCGCTCTCCATCTTGACAGATCCCCAGACCTGTGTGGGGGGGGGGAGCATGGAAGGGAAGGAGAGTATGCGGGGGTGCCAAAGAGCACAGGGGGGCCAAAAGAGTATGGGGGTCTGGAGAGCATGGGGGACACTGGAGAGCACAGGGGGGCCACCAGAGAACACAGGCGGGCATGCCAGAATGCACAGGAGGGTGGCTGCCAGAAAGCATGAGGGGTGGCCGTTGGAGAACATGGGGGTGCCGGAGAGTATGAGGGGGTACTAGAGAGGACAGGTGGCCACTAGAGACCCGGGGGGGGGGGTTGCTGAAGAGCACAGGGCGGCCGCTGAAGAGCACAGAAGGTGGCAGCAGAAAGAAGCTAGATAGGAGGAGAGGCGGGGCCGCTCCATAGAGAGGAATCAATCTCTCTAATTTCCTCCTGCATCCGCTGAATTCTGCTCCTCTCCCTCCTGCAGGCACTCAGCGGCTGCAGGAGGAAATGGAGTTATCATTTCCTCTATATGCAGCTGCCCCCACCGCTCCTCCTATCCAGATGTATGGAGGGGCTGAATGAGCTGCCTGCAGCATGGGCCCAGGTCACGATTGCAACCCCTGTAGGTACGCTCTTGAATGAAAACACTTATCGGAGGGATAGTCACTGATTTGATAAAATGTTGTGGCTGGGGTCTGGGGAAAATTAGCCTAACCTCAATAGAGCACATGGGTGAAAGTAATTACCTCCTTGGAACATATGGATGGAAAAACAATTGAACAGATTTAGAAGAGCTGCATCTTGCCAAAAACAGCTGAACAGCTCATGAAATTATATTAATCTCTAAATGATTGTTGAAAATGAGGTGATCCATGGTGGAGGTATTTGTAATTTTGTAGCTAAAGGTAGCAAGCAAAAGCCGTGTACTGTGTTAATTGGGAATACATACAAGACACACAACTCGTCAAATGATAGCTTTCAGTGAGTGTGCAACTAACCGTATTATATTTTGGAGCTCTAAAGTTCCTTCTTTATCATTGTATCTGTCATAATATCTGAAGATGCAGCTTTAGATCTCTGAAAGTTTTTATTTTGAATATTTTTGTTATCCAGTAAAAATATATCACTTTGACAACACTTTGTTCCCACCTCTGCTTACATAGCTTTTAGCGGAAATCAATTTAAAGTGAACGTGTGCTTTGCCCATGCAGGGAAAAACAGGTTCATATTAATAGAAATCCTTATGTGAAATTTCACTGCTCCCAAGCTTCAAACTGTCACCTTGTGTTGTGGCACACAAAACAATAGGGGGCGCCTTCTAAGTGCAGGATAAGAGAACTTTATTCTGTCTTATGCTTCACTTATAAGACGCCCCCTGTTGTTTTGTGCTCCAATTGCTGAGATCCCCTTTGTATCTTGGATGAGCAGCCACTGAGGCAATTAACCCCTTCATCATTTAATATACGTAACACACTAATTATACACTACTTTTATTTTTAATTTGTTCTTGCTATTTATGGTTACTACTTATTGGGAGTCTGGGTGTTTTTGGTGTCTTTGTTTGCACCAGCTCTTGTGTGCTTTCTTCCACCTTCTGTTGTGGACATGCCAAGTGCTGGTCCTGGAGCCTGATCACGCTCTGTAAAGGCACTAAATAGGGAACAAATGGCAGCACACTGGTGGGATCTTTTTCTTTCAGCAGGTTTTGATGCACAAACAGTACATCTTGCTTACCTCCACATAAAGGACCACCCTCTAATGCATTTTCATCCATTTGGGACATACTAGAGGTGCAGTTCTTCCGGTGGAGGTGAGCAAGATGTATCGTTTGTTCAATAAAACTTGCTTAAGGAAGTGATACTACCAGTATGCAGTCATTTGTTCCTTATGTAAGGTAAATGTTCTCTTCCACAGCAGCATATTGTATACTATACATTTTTTAAACTCCCCCACTACTCCATACAGCTGTTGGAAGTGGACAATGGAGCCCTGTTAATGCTTTAGTTGTCTCTCTCAGAGGAGCTTAAAGGGACAGCTCAGTTTTGCATTGAGGGGGTTCTCAACGCATGGTACATCCCAGGTCCTAAGCAAAACAGGGTGGATTGGTAGTTTTTCAACCAGGCTATGGGGAAGCAGGGTTTGGCTTACAGGCATGGCATTTAAAGTAAACTCCAATTTTCTAAGCACTGTGTTTTTTAAAACTACTGGGGACCCTTAACTGCATAGTACATTTTCAGTTCTGACTGAATGTGTGCTTGTAGCACAGGGAAAGATTTCCTGGTGGACCGACCTCTCTATTGCTGGAACCGGATACCATTTTGTTAGGCTGACACCTGGCGGGTCATCCCCTAGGGTTCTCCTGGGCTAGGCTAGGCACTTTGGAATAGGGTCACTTCCCTGGCACATGGGGTACCTTTGCTTGTGCCAAAACCATCAATGCCCCAGGATAAGGCTGAGACCACTTTCAGGGAATGCTCAACCCTAAGGAGGACCCAGGGGCGGACTGACCATTTGGAAACCCGGGCACTGCCCGAGGGCCCGGGGTCAGTAGGGGGCCCCATGAGATACCCCTGGTAACTTTTTCTTAGGCTTTTTTGAGTTTGGGCAAGGACACAGGGGCCCCATGATCCCCTATTGCGGGGGGGGGGTCAGTAGTGGACCCCATGAGATGCCCCTGGTACCTTTTTCATAGTCTTTTTTGAGTTTGGGCAAGGACACGGGGCCCCATGATCCCCTATTGCCCGGGGACCCCATGAGTTGTCAGTCCGCCCCTGGGAGGACCGCTAACTTTAGGGATGGCCATGCACCGTGTACCCTTGAACAATGAACTGTACTCCAGGTAACCCTCTTGTCCCCGTGTCAATGCACACCTTCACTGTCAGTGGTTACTATTTGGAGGGACATGCTGAGCTGATGCCCACTCCACCTGTCCAGCATATCTCCGCTACCTCACCTCCAGTAACATAATGGAGTGCTGTCGAGCAGCTTAGCATGGACTCCAAATGTACTCTACATTAACTCTTCCTCTTATGTACCTGTGCACAGGCCGAGGCCTTGTGTGGTGCTGATCTGCTCCTGTTGCTATGGGAGAGAGACCGCTTAGAGAAAGAGTGTCAGTAACAACTCCCTCGTTGGTAAAGGACATCCCACCTATCACAGGAACACATTTACTATCTTTATACCCTAATGTGCTTCACTGACACAAGTTGTAGACTAAGTGCAGAATGTACCTGTTACTTGCATTACACCTCTTTAGTAACTTCAGACCAAGCACAGTTTGAAAAGCTTTACTGTTCTCAAATGTTTTTCCTTACATCCCTAATCCCTAACTTAGGTTTGTGGCTGCCCCAGCATACCTGCACAGGATGAGAGTGCATGCTTGGCATAGTCCATAGTGGCAGATCTCCAGAACTGGTATCTTCAGGGTGGACTATAGCTCCCAGCAATCCCCCTACATGGTGGATGAGGCAACAGGCAAGCTTGCTCTCTGAGTGCACTGGTAAAGAAGGGCTCCAGAACAAAGCATTGTCACCCTTTGGCATTGCAGAAGGTAAAAGTCTTGGAAGTGGGACTGCTCCTGTCCTTTTCTGCCAAAGAGAAACTCATGCCAGGTTTTATGTAGAGTGTAAGGGTAGAGTCAACTAGGTGTGGTGGGACTGCATTGAGCGGCTATTCCAGCACAGTTCCACTGCAACCCCACTGCAAGACAAAGCAAAATGCCTTGTCTCTGGTGTGCGCTGAGGTGATATGTGGGCAGTTTGCACTGAAAAAAAATAGTACTGCAGTGGTGTGCGTGCAGTCATTTTTTTCTAGCACAGTGCAGTCACCATACGCCGTCTGATAGAACTTTATGAAATGTTGTTGTGTGACATTTCAATAAAGTTTATTAAAAAAAGTGAACAGTGTGATGCTCTGGGATTAGGGCATCAGCACTGCCTTCACTGCAATGCAACACCGGCCACTGTATTTCTATCATAATAGATCTATCCTAGATCTGTCCCAAGTCTGGCTATCTGTTCTTGTTTAGCAGTGCCTAGCTTTACAAAAGAATTATAATTTTCCCTCACTGTGTTAATGGTAACTAGCTTTAAAAAAGTTAATTTAAAATATTAGAGAGGTTTTATACAGCAATATATAATAATATAATAATAATAATAATAATAAAATCATGTTTTATACAACAGATGATTACACAATTGTGAATGGGCTCTAAAGAGTACCTGTCAAGATAGGAATAAAAGACATACCATTTCCAACGTGTTTTAAAAACTGCAAGCTTTGGGGCTGTCAGCACTTCTTAAGGCCCCTTACACACAGGGCGGACCCATCAGTGGAGGATCTACCCGCTAATCCCCGCTGAACAAGCGGATGACAGGTCTGTGTCTGCTCTGCTTATGCAGAGCGGACATGGACACAGCCTGCTGTCCTCTATGGGCTGTTGGATGGAAATGGACCACCTATCCATTTCCATCCGACTGTCATCAGCCAGACAGATGGGGACTGGACAGCATCGGATCAGAGTTTAAACAGACACATGACAAAGGTGCAGAGAAAGAAAGGTCCAGAAGAGCACAGATTCTAATTCTTGGACCTCTACATCAGCTAGCATAGGCAGCAAAGGATTCTCATCCAAAGAAGAGGGGGGGACGGGGGGTGTAGGAAGGTGTTGTGAGTTAGTTCACCTTTTTATGTTTTGTGAACTAATGCTTTCAACTTTAACCAACCCAAAATGGCAGCTGATACTGAGTAACATAAGAGGAACTACCAATTATGTATGTTCTGTTGTACATTAATAACAGAAAAAATTGATAAACGCTATCACAGTCTCTTTTTCCCAGCATCCCACATGGATGTCAGATTAGGAGCAGCATCTGTGTCCATGCGGTCACAGTGTCCCAATTGACATCAATTGGACTGCCTGCATGGGGATGCACGGAACACCTGTACATCCCTGTATGGGTAAACACGGTCCTCCACTTTAATACATCCCATGTGAACAAGGCCTTACAGATTCCTTCATTTATTAAAGGCATTGACTAAATCTGATTAACCCCTGATCAGCCACAGAACCTATGCAACGCATATGGCAGGTTTCAAAGGAATAAGTTGGCAACCTTAGAGTTTAGACTAGGTCATTGCTACTGACAGATTTAACTGCTGTTGGCAGTAACTTCACGTGAAGCATGCTGAAATCAGTGTGCTGCTAATGCTGGCAACAAATAACAAAAGTTTTCAATTGCCAGTGTAGCTTTAATGCCTTAAAACAATAGCCAAAACTTGTTTCTTGGTTTTGGATAGAGTGGAAGGGTTAGAACCCCTGTCAGGTTTAACTTCTATTTAGTGCTTTATTAGCGCTCATGTACACAGCAGCTGATACACTCACGTTTAGGAGATGTTCAGCGTTTTTTTTCAGCAGCCCCTGAACTCACCCTAATGTTTTCCTGTGTGTCCATGTACACATCTTCGTTTACAGTCATTTTACAGTCATTTTTTTGAATGCAGAAAACTTGCGTTCAGCAGTCGATTTTATCAGTGCTTCAAACACAAAAAGCTTGTAAACGCAGCAAATCGCGTTATAAGCGTTTGCTTCTGACATTTTTTTTTAACTCTTCCAGTTCCGATGCTGTCCAGAGCCTTTTTTCATCATGAAAAATGCATGCAAAGCATTTTCAAGGTACCCAGATGGACAAAACACTGAACACAGGATGTTCCTACCAAGCTTGTCACACATTGTAATGACCAATTCACTCCTCAGACCTCTCCCACCCTTGGAAACAAAAGCTATGTTAATGACCATTCACACCTCAAATTCCTCATGAAGACCCCCTGCCAGGTGGCTTTAATGACTTTTATGACCAGACACCTTTCCAACCTTTGGAAACAAAAAAATGTTAATGAGCAACTCACACCTAAGCTAATCTCAACACATACTGCTCTCTCTGCTTCTACTCTCTGAATATCTCTTAACCAGTCTAAAATAGTTAATAATTTACCACTTTTCAGTGTATTCTGGGCATTTTGGAAGTTCTCCTGTGCTTATCTTTAAAAAAAAACACTTCTAAACGCAAATGCACATACCCGCACATAACCGCACATAAACATGCTATGCAAACGTGGCTAAACAGACTCTTTTTAACCTACGTTTTCCAGCAGTCAGTTTCCATCGTTCAGAAGTGTCCCGTGTACATGGGGCCTTAGAGAGATCTTCACTTATGTCTTTTTTTGGGGCCAACAATTTACCAGACAGGATGTGTTAGGTAAATCTGCAACAGGAAAACAGACAAGGATAAAAGCTAACGGGTTCTATCACCCCCTTCTTCACTTAAAAATGTTTATTTCTGCTTGTTTTACTGTTGGAGAGTGAAAAGGTTGTCCCCGGAACAGGAAGTGAAGGGAAATCTCTCTAATTGAGTTCTGGACAGAAGTAAAACCCAGAAAGGAGTTCTGGTCCTTCTCTATGCTATCCAAGACAAAAATAATGTTTTGGTTCTAGATACACTTTAAAGAGATACTAAAGTTTTAGATTGTATTTTTTGAAACGTGTAATACTTACCTGCTCTTTGTAATGGTTTTACACAGAGCAGCCCCAATCCTCCTCTTCTAAGGTCCCCTGCTGATGATCCTGGCTTCTCCCCCCTGTTGAGTGCCCCCAGAGCAAGCTGCTTGCTATGGGGGTAGTTGTGCTTGCTTGCTCCCAAGCCGCCTGTAAGACATATAGAGTGCGGTTGGCCCCGCCTCCACTCCATCCTCACTGGCAATGATTGGCAGCAGTGCGACCCATTGGAGCAGGAGCTGTGTCTGAGCCAGTGAGGAGGGAGAGACCCAGGAGTGATCCCATGGACGTTGCTGGATTGAGAATGAAATCAGGTAAGTATTGGGGGGGGAGGGCTAAGGGGGGAGCTACGCACTGAAGGTTTTTTTACTTTCATACATAGACTGCATGAAGGTAAAAACCCTTCAGCCTTTACGACCAGTTCAAGCTTGTTACACATGCTACAGTCTTATCTTACAATCTCATTTAGCTCTACTAACAACTATGTAGTACAAGGGCCTGCTAAATGGATAGTTTAGATGGGTCTTTATATTACATTACAGTTCTGGAAAATCTAACGTTAACTGTCACAAGATTCTATGCTCCAATTCAATGCCTTAAAGAGATATTAGATTTTTGCCCAGGATAAGGAAGTGAAAAAAATAATTTGAGTCAGCAGAATACACTACTACCTCTACAACTTTCTCTGTAATAATTTTGCGGAATATTCAAAAGCTGACAGGACTTTTATTAAAGTGGAACTTAACCCATAACAACTTGATAAAAAAATAATGTTCTTTAGCAAGCAACATATATTCCACATTAATAACTATGCTACCAAATTTAGTGTGTGCTGTAAATTACCTCCAGCATTGTTCCTGTTTCTTCTTGCCAGAGGTTGACAGTTTGCTGCAGCCCAGAGCCCCTGAGCAGCAGTAAATCTTTAGGCTCTCAGCAGATTGGCCTCTACATTTTCGGGAAAGTGCTGAAAATTAGAGAGCAAATGAGCATGTGCAGAGCAGGGTGAGACAGTGTATTACTGGATTTTAAACAGTATACGCATGTATTTTTAATGTTTTACATAGCTATACCTGCAAAAGGGGCCAACCTGAAGTGATCTAGCAGTACTTCAT